GGTTTTGAGAAAAGCACATTTTGAAAATCAGCATGGTACCCAGGCAATCTCTAAACAACCAGTTATTTTTAGAGTTAAAAAAAAAAAACAAAACATTTTAAAATTCAAAACAGGAGAGGATGTGTGTGTATAGAAGCGAAAAGGCTGAGCATGTGCAGGGCAAGTGACAAGCAATGAGACTTCTGTAGAACACAGACTGAAATTTAAAAGGAGAGGCAGCACACAAGACAGATGACTACATATAAAACAAAAGACTGGACATTTTTCATTTTCATTTCACAGTAAATGAATCCTAACTTTCCAAGATCAAGATTGCTTGCTCGTAGGAAAATGGAAGTGTTGCCATTGACTTCAGGCTGAACGTGGCTAAGCTGAAGGTGTGCTTCAGAATCTCCCAACGTGTTAAGCGTTCAAAATTAATGATGGGATCTTACTTAGATAATACAGGGATATTGATTTATTAGGTTTTTCTGAAAACCAAGTTGCATGCTATCTGTTACAATGAAATGAAATGTTCCCATCTCTCTATTCTGCATATGACAGGGAACGTTATCTCTGGCTTCTATTAAATCAAAGTTCTTTGACATTGCTTTATTGATTGCGAGAGAGCGTTTTGCACTGAAATTAAACTGTGATCAGATTCCTTCCTGATGGAATTAAATCTGAAGATCATTCTACCATGGAGAAGTATCACCCACAATGTAAGACAGCAGATGGAGACACTCCAATTTATTTGGGAACCCTCATTAACCGTTCGAAAATCATTAAATTTTTAATGGTTATGATATTTTACAAACTGTATCAATAGATGTACGAATTAAGTAAAGGTGACTGCAACATTATCCTTTCACATATTTTACTATATGGAGCATTTAGCAAGAGTATTTCATTTGTTTGAGGGATACCGAGTTGGAACGTGCACATGAAATGCAACGTTGCATACACACACCTGTACTCAAATGTACATACAAACACTCCTTCGAACCTGTGCTTTCACAGCCCTCGATTCATCTAATGTGTCCTTTCTACATATTCCAATACTTTATTCCAAATATTAACGAGTGCCCGATTCTTTGCTCATCGTAACACATGACTGTGTTGCAGTCAGCAGAGATTTACCACCATAAAAAGATCAGAACTGCAGCCTTGTTGCAAATCTTTGTTTTAAGGACACAGCCTGCCTAGTACCCCACAGAATCCTTCACAGCAGCGAGACATGCACTACAGTAAAGGAAAGCAGAAGGGACAGCACAAGGAGAAACACCATCTCATCCAGCCACCCAGCAGAGACTTACAATTGAGGCTAGCTATGAATATATGCTCTTTGCATGTTTTGACTAGATCTGCCTCTGATGCATTCACATGGATTAATCTGTCCCATAAAACGAGACCAACCAATAGAACTGTCGTCTTTATCCCTCAGTTTGTAACTGTGCACATGTAGCCACCCTCTCGACACTCGATATGAACAGTCCTGAAAGGAAATGAAACAAAAGCCACACAAAATTGCTTACAGCAGAACTACTGGTCAGTGCTCAACAGTTTATATTCACAAGCTGATCTGCCCCTCTTTCTCCCCAGCTTCTTTTTTTATTTTTTTTTTTTAATATCTTCAAGGTTTTACCATGACTTAATCCTGTCTCTAGTGTGCCAGAAGCACATAAAAGAATTATTTCATAACTCAGGGATGTTTATGACACCCCCATATGCCCATGCTGATGGATTTCATCACACACTATTTGATGCTTTTACTGTATCTTTGCTGAACGCTGCTATGAGCCATTTACCAATTCATAAGTGAGGTATCAAATTGTTTTGGAGGGCTGCAGTACAACAGAACAAATTATAAAGAAGACTTAATTTGTATTATGGTTCAATACAGTCAATTAAATATTGCACAGATTAGAAAGTAATTTAACATTTAAGCTTCAGTTGTTAAAAAAATCCACTGTACATAGCCTCCAAATTATTTTAGGTCTCCTGTGACTTTAGTCACTGTTGCAAACATTGAGGATTTTAAATGGAAGCACAAGTAAGGTCTCAAACTGGGTAACTAAGACAATCTTGTGATGCACAAGTCCTTCTTTTTAGGCTAAACATGATGTCATTATTGTATTTTATTCATACACTATAAAGTTTTTTCCTGGTGTTAAACTTAAAGAAGTCCAAAATACCCACCTCCACCAAGGCTGCTGTCTTCCCTCTTCCCCTTAAGTTTACTCTGGTCTCTCCCACTAGCCATTATTTTCTCTCCTTTTCTCTATTCTCTACCCTGCTTCTCCTCTTCCCCCAGGTTGCTCCCTGTACATCACACTGAATTGATTTAGCTGCCTCTGAGATCTGTAGCGTTTCTAATTTCCCTCAGGCTGCTTGGCACCTATCATAAATTTTTTCACCCCTTATCCTCATCTTGCCCCTTTATTTCCATGCTGTAGCCTCCAGTGCCACTAAATCAATTAAGTCAATCAATTAAGTACTTGGAGGGTCCAGCAATCATGTCAAATATGTGAGTTAGATGGCATGAGAAAGTCACTGCTTTACTATCGCTATTTCTCTTTTAATGAGGTTGTCTATTTAGTGGAGCCTGGGGCACAGTGTTAAGAGCCACAACAAAAAAATACCCTGCAAGCTGCAAAGCCTCCTATAAAAGCTGCCCCACCGAAAGCAGGAAGCATGCACCATACAATATTATAGCTATATGGACAAGTTTCACAGGGATTTAAGTTGCACAGCCTTTCACCTTGAATAACTAAACGGTGAGCCCATTTTCAGATATGAACTGACAGCTCCGCTGTTGTAATTTCCACACTATCGATACTGGCATGTGGGTGACAAACATGGCCCAAGCATCCTCTGCATTTCTATTCCTGTCTATTCACTTCTATCACATTTGACTAAGCAATAATACATTTTGTGTGCCACTTAAAGCTCCCCAAACATCAAAGTTACCCATCAAACTGCAAAATCCTTAATGGATTCATAATAAAATAACTTTATGAGCTATAGTTTCAGTCATACTGCTGTCTACATGCAAGTCCCCCATACTCCAATTCATATTGTGATTGCTCAGTAGCACGTTAGGATATCAGGCCCTATATGTTTAAGACGACTACGGAACAAATTGTAGAAAATGAACCTAATGTGGAAAATTACAGCAATGCCTTAACAACAAGCTTAGCAAGCCAGAAGTGTAATAGTACATTGACCATTATTTACTGCAACACATTAAGTGAAAACAATGAATTGTAAAACAGGTGAGTGGTTCTGAGATGAATTTTATCTCATTGCTGCAAGAAACATCAGAGTGGTACAGATGTGCGGCCAGCTCCTCCCCTACACCTAGCAGGCTGCTGTGTTCCTTAACAGTGCTCAGGACGTGCATACTGCGACACTTTGTCAAATGTTCTTCATGGCATTTCCTTACAATTTGTGTTTGGTTTAGCTGAGATTTGCAGGGATCATGGGGACAACAACTGGTCAAAAACATTTTTCTAATTGCCTGTTTGTGCTGCAATGCTTCTCTGCTGTTTTGTTGAAATGCACTTAGTAGAGGTGGTCCGGAGCTGCTCAACTCCATCACAAACACCCCACATTTCAAATAACATACTTAAGGAGCAGACATGAAACACTTAAGTTCTCTACAGCTGCAGATTCAAATCCCAGACCTGTTTTATAACTTTCAGGCACAGTCAGAGAGCAGTCCGCTGCACGTAGACAACAACAACAAAAAAAGAAGCACACAGACATCTGAAACAAACACCTCATCAGACCATGCTGGCATGTTTTTTTCCTTGGTACCCATTAATGGCACATGGATACCTGTTAAGCAGTTGTGAATCTTTCAACTTCCTTTCACCCTAGAGTCCCATTTCAACAGGACAGTTTACAGACAGTTTGGGGAAAGTCACCAATCTCAAATATCAATGAAATGGAAAATGAATCAGTAAATCATATTTGCACCACAAACTTTTCCATGTTGTTTTCTGGAACTTGGCATTTGGGTG